TTTTTTCCTTTGAATTGATGTATCAGAACAAAGAAATGTACATAGAGAGTATATCACATTTTTCTCTGAATTCTTGAATTGAAGACGGATCTTCTGTTACATATATCTTAAATAAACTGAAGTTTGAATTTATAGAGTGTTGCATTTTCTTTGTTTTTGATATTCCAATTTGAAATCTTTTTTTAAACGTCTCTTCGAGAAATTTTCACTTATATTGAGACGTCACCACTTGCCAGTAAAAGGCTGCAAATGTACACACTTACGGCCTTTGAGCGTTGAAGGATGTTTTTCGTGCCAGCAATCATTACAACACGTGGCCTTATATGGTCTCATCCAAAGAACCGGTCTCGCTTCACAAAGTGGATTAGAACCCGCTACGTAAGGATCAACTAACTTTGCGACTCTAGAGCATATTTTATGTATTTTATTCCATCCGACAACAAATCAAAACAAGCGAGTTTATTGGTCTGTAGAGACGACCAGAAAGGATAAGGAGGTGGATGAAATATACAGGTTGATTATAGAATATATCTCGAATTAGGGAATGAAAGGTCGCTGATTGACAAATGCTGGAAAATAGCGAAATACATCCCCAAAGTCACAGATTAAGGGAACTGTAGCAAAGGCGGATCCAGGGCCGGCGCGCCGGGCTTGCGCCCCCTCCCCCCCTACCCACCCCGTTTGAATTTTTTGTATGTAGAACTTAATGTCCATTATCCTAAAATCAAGGAAAAAAAATCTCTTATTTGTAAGAATGTGTCAGCCCCAAGACCCACTGTGGGCTTCAATGCAGCCCCCGGACCCCTACCTTCTACAGCGACCCCCACCCCGTTACGAAAATCCTGGATCTGCCACTGTGTAGCGTTAAGGTGCGGTCACATGATGCGATTTTTCATTCGATTTTCCATCCGATTTTTCCAATCGATTTGCTATCGACTAAAATCGCACCGTCGACCACCCAAGTCGAAAGTCGAAAGCAAAATCTGAAAGTCGATTGGAAATCGGATGGCGTCCGATTTCCACTCGACTTTCTGATGAAAATCGTGACGTCACAATGATATTTCCCGCGACACGAAATGAATATATAGATTTTTATTTTTGAAATAGTCATCTATGATGAATGGATAATTATTAATTAATTAACAAAATAAAAGGATACCCAGTAAACAACAATTATTGTGTACAAATAATTAATTTTGCATAAACTATCATTTTACCATAGTTTGCGAACACGGAGATTCATGTTTTTATAGAATGCCATTTATGATTAAAGATTTTTTGTTAAATAAATAATGATTTTTGAATTTTATAGACTAAGCTTAATTCAAATTATCACATTTATGTAAACAAAAAGTTTTAGCTATTAATTTTAAAATACGCAGGAATGTTTGTAAATCTAATTAAAATCAGATCTTTCATCTTTCATGCACTTATGTTGCTGTAAATTAAGATCTGCGGTACGCAGCATATCAGTACTCCAGCATGCTAGAGGTTCTTTTGACTTGGTTAGACACCCCCCCCCCCTCCCCCATCTTCTCAATAATATGAACGAGTAGTTTTAAACATTATTTGCATGAGTTATACATTATAAGCGTTCGTCAAGAGATTCAACTTATTTCAAACATACATGTTAACGTGTTGAATAATTTAAAATGGTAAATCTTAATTGTTTAGAACTCAAAAATTTAAGTACTAAATCAAGTGGTCGAAGAGATTAGGTTTTCAACATCTGATATATTTACTTCTGTAAGTAATAGATTTTGACCCGTGCGTGCACGGGTTGACATTGTTATGAATGCATCCAAGTGCATATCGGACATTTACAAAATAGATACATCGACACATTCATATTGTAAGGTATTTTTGAAATAAACAATGAATGTTAATATAATTCTGTTTGTTTTTTTTTTTGGTGTTTGTTTTGTTTTGTTTTTGTTTTTTTTTTAATTGTTGCGTAACGGCGTAGCGCAGAATGGGTTTGACCACCAGTTAGCTATAAATCAAGGTCTTGAGTTCGAATCACGCCGGAGCTTACATAAATTTCACCTTTCCAAACAAAATTATGGATCGATGTTCATTGAAAATATGACAACAGCAAAGAGTTGAGCACACTGCTGATACATATCAAGCAAAGTAATGAAAATGAAGAATTGTGCTAAGCTGGTATTTTTACACAATCAGTTATTAAAGTAAAGGTGTAAAAATTTTTGTAACAATTTTAACACTGCAGGTCTCAACTTTTTTCAAAATATGACCTCAACAATAAAAGAGTTAAGCACTGCTAATACATATACTTTATATATACACAGGTAATAGACAGGTATATAGTCTGTAAAAGACTGTCTGTTTTGATAAAAATTAATGTAATATCCTTGAATTGGCACATAGAAAAAGTAATAAAAATAGAAGCTTAATTGAGAAAAAATAAAAACAAATTGGTAATCTTCAAGTACCAATGATGTTTAAAATACATAAAACAAAAGACAGTATTCTTCCGATTTATCGGAATTAAAGGCCAAAAATTCGAGTCTATAATTTTTATATAGTAGTTATTGTAATTTTTGGCGGAAAAAGAATGCCTACTTCACTAAGATGTGATTCTAACTGGAGTTGTAACACCCCCCCCCCTTCAGTTCCCCTCAAAAAAGCATAAAAGAAAGGAGGGATAAAATAAATCGGGTAGTTACATTAATGTTGCTCCTACGACCATGAGCTTTTTGCCTCTGTTGAGATGGCCAGAGATATAAATAACATATAATAAATGTGTCTCCGAGATGGCGAATGATTACCCACTTGGCCACAATATCACATTTGTATGGATATAAACTCAGAAACGATTACGATAATACAAACATATAGACGTCAGAAGCAAATTGAAAGTGGGGTGGCTATTTGAAAGTGGGGGGGGGGGGGGGACCAAACCAACGAAAAAAGGTAAGCCCCAGTTTTCAATGCCTATATTATGCCTATCTTTGCAAAAAAAAAAGTGGGGGGGGGGAGCTTAGCCCCCCCCCCCCCCGGTTCCGACGCCTATGACAAATACGTGTAAATTTTCATTGGAAATTTGCTATATATTCTGTTCATATACATTAATGATTTCTTATTAGAGAAATTATACAATAACATATATATATCTAGTTAGTATATACTTTTGTCTTCTCCGATTTGAACACACTCTCGACCAACGGCTCATACATTTGTGTATAAGAGAGAAACGAACGACAACTCTGCAAGGGAGATTGATTTGAACACCGTGATTTAGCGTGAATGTAATGCGCACGCGCAAGATTGTAAAATCCAAAAAATCCAGATGATTTCCGGAATTTTTTGAGGAATTTTCGTTGATTATTAATTAGCGAAGCTTAATTGAGAAAAAATAAAAACAAATTGGTAATCTTCAAGTACCAATGATGTTTAAAATATATCAAATAAAAGACGGCACTCTTCCGATTTATAGGTATTAAAGGCCAAAAATTCGAGTCTATTATTTTAATATAGTAGTATAGAAAAGCCTCGGTTAAGGTGGTATGGGATACCAAATGAAACTTCTCTTACATATTTATGTACCCAAATTAGAAGGATTTGAAATACCCCCACCTTTCAGTATATTAAAGTGTAATTTTAATAATTTTTTTATTATTTTAATGAGAAATACAAAAATGATTTTTTTTCTTGCATAATTCTTTTTTCATAAGCTTAATATTATAGGCAGGCGTTTGCTAATATAAAGTGTATATAAAAACAAAAATGACAAGAAATATGTCTTAGTATTTTTTTAATTTTCAACAAAAAATAAGCGTAAAAAACTGGGAAAACTTTATTTCTTGAAAACAGACGGATAGCATTTTATGAAAGTCTACAATAAGAATGTATCTTAATATGTTAGCAAAGTGAAATAAACAAATTGAAAATATATGTATAAATGGAAAATATAAAATGCATTTAAAATTTTTTGAAGTAAAAGATCCGAGCGGAAGAGTTATCCTTCTTTATTTTCCAAGGGTTGAAAAAACCTAGTTGCTATTTTAGAAATGATGAGCATTTTTTCCCAACCATAAAAAAATCGCACTTTGTAGTTTTCAACTTTGAGCGGTTTTGAAAACAATGCATGGACAATCGCTTTCCAGGACGTGTCTTGTTCAGAGCAGTTGCATTCATCTGAACGTTTTGGGACTATATACAACAGCTGATTTGTGACCAAACAGTTACTTCTTGAATTAAATAACAAAAAAGTCCAGCTGTGGTTAACGTGATAATTGATTGGTGATAATTCAGCACAATGTGAAGTAATCGCACTTATCCATGCCTCACCGCACACAAGGTGCTGTACAGTTACTCAAACAATTGAAATACAGTTTTTGCTTAAAAGTGTTCAAAAGCAGCAATGTTGAAACTACCTTTTACAGGGGTTTGCTTTTTTAAATGTCCGTTGTACAATTATAAGTAAATTTATATACTTGCGATTTTTTTGTCTGTTTTTACTTAAAATGCCGACTTGTGAGAACTTGCATTGAAATAGGCTTCATAGTGTTCTTTTCAACGGTGTAACTACAAATTTTGACCCGATAATAAGCACTCATGCAAATCAAAACAATACTTCAAACGGAAATACGTCATAACGTGGAGGTATCCCATACTACCTTAACATCCCCCTACGCTCCGTATATATCTCAGTTATGGAAATGTCGGATGGCATCAAATTCACAACAAGCGAGTTTATTGGTCTGTAGAGACGACTATAAACGGTTAGGAGGTGGATAAATATAAAGGTTGGTTACAGAATATGTCTAGAATTAGGGGATGACAGGTCGTTGATTGACCAATGCTGGAAAGTGGCACAATATTTGCAATAAGGGATCTGTAGCGTTATGGTCAAAGACTAAAATATAAAACCATAACGCTAGCAGCTAAACTCTCCTATAACGTCATAATTGTATGACGTCATAATAGTCATGACGACACCGTAGACCTAGTTACATTGTTGTTGAACATACACCAGTGTTCATCGTCAAAATGGGTCTTCTCCATAGCTGCATGCGGAAGCGAAGTAACAAAGTTGGCATTATGACCGACGAAGAAGAAGAAGCTTACAAGAAAATAGAAAGAGAGCTGAAAAACGAAGTACTGGAGGAATCTATTCAGAACAAGCCTCTCCCGTGGTTAATGTTTAGCTCTACATCGTCAGAACGTGAGAAGGCTTATACAAACCTTGCTCAGGGAGATGAAATTTCTGATGTTGTAAAGAAAAAAGATGGAATAGCTTTCAACCTTGACTTTAAGTCTGCTCTTCCGGCAAAACTTCCACCCATCAAGATCACTTCTACCAGATTAGTTCAAGAGGATTATGACAAGTGGAAAGGTGCTCTCTCTCTCTCTCTCTCTCTCTCTCAGGTTCTAGCATTACTAGTATCTTCAGTACAGTGTTGTGATATTTTGTGTTTAATTGCAGAGGCAAGAGACAAAAGATTGATGGAAAAACTGGAGAAAGCAAAGATTAGAAGGGAAGCGGTGCTGCAGAAGCGAAAAATTGCAGCAAAAAGACCACAGACAGCTCAAAGCCGATATTTCAGTGAAGGATAAACGGAATTAAAGGACTCGCAAATATACTTGTTAAAGGACAACAGATGTCCATAATCGGCAATTCCTTTAAAATATTTTTATTACTTTCTTTAATTGACTTGCCTAGTTTGCGTTCTTTAAAATCATTTATTAACATTAAATTTTGAAGCTTACCAATTTATCTAACGTTCATCTAAGATTTTTTATATATCGGGAAAAAAATTGTACATAGTCTCTAAAATTTTTGTATGAACTCTTGAATTGAAGGAACTTCTGTTACATATACTGATATCCTAAATAAACTGAAGTTTGATTATTATAGCATGTATCTTTCTTATACTAGTATTCTGTTTTGGAACCTATTGTAAACTGCCCGTGCATTTTGCTCATAAAGCAAAGCAGTATGGAACGCCAAATTAACATATATTCAAATATTTGAACCTATCTTTAATTAATTGTACCTATCTTCAAATCAATTGTACCTAATCTTCAAATAAATTAAAGATAGGTTTAATTCAATTTTACCTATCTTTAATTCATTTGAAGATAGGTACAATTAATTTGAAGATAGGTACAATTGATTTGAAGATAGGTACAAATGCCATGAATTAAAGATAGGTATAATGGATTTAAAGATAGGTACAATTGTGAATTGAACCTATCTTCAATTATAAAGACACTTACAATAACAACTACTCCCTATAAAATGCTTTGCGCAGTTCCCTCCTTGTTCAAATCGCTGTTATAGGGAGCTTTCATTATTTTCAATAACAGAAAAAGAATTGAACCTAGGTATAATTGAATTGTACCTATCTTCAAATCCATTGTGGATATGTTTCGATTGTACCTATCTTTAAATCAATTGTACCTATCTATAAATCAATTGTACCTATCTTCAAATCAATTGTATCTATCTTCAAATGAATTGAAGATAGGTATAATTCAATTGAACCTATCTTTAATTGAAATGAAGATAGGTATAATTCAATTGAACCTATCTTTAATAGAATAGAAGATAGGTGCAATTATTTAGAGATAGGTATAATTATTTACACCTATCTATAATTCATTTAGACCTATCTTTAATTCAACTGTACCTATCTTCAATTCATTTAGAGATAGGTTCAATTATTTGAAGATAGGTACAATTATTTGAAGACAGGTTCAAATATTTGAATATATGTTAATTTGGCGTTCCATAAAGCAGAGCTTGCCATAATATTTTTTTTAATCATGTCGATATTGGAGTTTGCTATGGTGGCATATTTCTGTCCCATATATACGGAGGCGGTTATACGTTTCCGTACATATGTGCAAGTTATTTTTCTGTCAAATATGTCGACATGCAAGATAAATATGTTGAAATCCAAGATAGTTATGTCAACATGCAACATAACTATGTTGACATGCAAGAAAATTGCAATCAAATAAGAATTATAAAAAATCTTTTAAAAATCTCAAATATCGCCACATGTGACTTCCAATATGCTAGATGCTACTTATTTATGTCGACATGCAAGTAAATTATTTTGACATGCGAAATAAATATGTTGGCATAGAAGTTATTTATGTCAACATGCTTCTTAGGTATGTTAACATGCCGGCGACTTATTTATGTCAACATGCAACTTATTTATGTCAACATGCAACTTAGTTATGTCGACATGCAACTTGTTTATGTCAACATGCAATTTAGTTATGTTGAGTAGCGGATATATATATAATTTTAAAAAAGTAAATATCCAAAAATGAAATCACAAATCGATGTAAATGTCTGAAGACCCAGGAATGGCGAAAAAGTTTACAGTGAATATGATCGATTTGTGATTTCATTTTGGATATATACTTTTTTAAAAAATATAATCGATTTTCAAAATGATAAGATTTTGAATTATACACAATTTGAACATTTGTGCGAGCGTGCAGATTCGTTACTACCCAAGACACGTGCAATGAGGCAATGAGGTTCTGTTTCTTTTGTCGATAAAATTGAAGTTGATTTTAATGATCGAAAATTTATTCAAGCAAATGTTGCAGTTTAAATTATTTTCTATAATATGAGATGGACAACAAAGTATAAATTGAATTTCCTTTGATAAAATGTCCTAGCGATTCAGAAACGTGACCGCAGATTATAAAACGTTTTTAGGGCCCCTCTCTGCGGCAACCTATAGTAATTAGTGTGTCAGTCCGTCCTTCTGTTCGTCCGAGGTCTCTTTTAAAGGATGTGCAGTGACCTTGAACTATATTTCAAGGTCTAAGGTTAAGGTCATAGCAGAACTGTATCTGAAAAATGCATGTAAATATAAATAAGTTGTATGTCGACATAAATATGTTGCATGTCGACTTAAATAAGTTGCATATCAACATATTTATCTTGCATGTCAACATAACCAAGTTGCATGTTGACATAAATAAGTTGCATATCAACATATTTATCTTGCATGTTAACATAAATAAAATGCATGTTGACATAAATAAGTAGCATCTAGCATGTTGAATGTCACATGTGGGCGATATTTGAGATTTTTGAAGATTTTTTATAATTTTTATTTGATTGCAATTTTCTTGCATGTCAACATAGTTATGTTGCATGTTGACATAACTATCTTGGATTTCAACATATTTATCTTGCATGTCGACATATTTGATAGAAAAATAACTTGCACACAAGGGGCAGAAATATGCCACCATAGTTTGCTATTCGGACACTGAAAGTTTGTTATTCTTGGATATTCCAAGTAGAGTCCAGTTTGTATTGAATTGAATTGAAGCTCTGAAAAATAACAACTTTTAATAGCCTGAATCACTGTGGCATATTCTACTAAATGTCCTTTGAAGCATTCACATTTACCGGAAAAAGTAATTTATCTAACCGATTCTGATATTACTCAGCCATTTTTATTTCCGGTGACGAAAAAGATGTTAACAGAATCAAATTCACTATTATTGGTAATTATTTGATATATGTTAATTGAATGGTCACTCCTTACCACTTGCACTTATTTTTCTTTCGCACCTGTTCATAGTCCTAAAAGTGTACAAGTATCTGCTCAGAGAAAGAGTATTTCAGATATCTGACTAAAAACTTTTTTTCTGTTGATTCTAGCCTAGTGACGTTTTTTTACTTGAATTTACTGTGATATGATATGCAGTGGTAGTTGGTAAGGCTAAGTACTAGTGTTCTCGGTTGGGATATGGCTCAGTTGACTAATTGGACAGGTGAACAGTCTAGACGAACTCCAACATTCTCCTATGCAGAGTTGTCGTTTGTTCCTCTCTCAGACCAGTCTAGACGAACTCTAAAAACGGCGTGAACTCCGAAAACGAAGTCTTTGGCTCCATCATGCATTGCGGCAAAATGGCGTCCGATGTAAACAAACGATGGATTGTCGTTCGCTTTCTCCAAATATACGGGTGCATGATGGCTGTATTTAGTGCATTGTGACTTTATTTTAAATTTTTGTTGAATGGATAATTATATTTATTAAATTATTTTGTGGATATTGACTTATTTATTGCTTCAAACTCTTGCATAGTAGTAAATTGGATATACGACATTGAATTCAATACTGCCGGTAAGAATTATTTTCTTATTTGATTTATTGTCTCCTTGATTTAAATTTCATGTTGTTCCTACAATATAGGTGCTTTTATTTGTTTTTGAAGACACTCAACTTGTATTTATTTTAATTAGAAAATGTGTATTTTTCACCACAGAGCAGAGATATTCACAGGTTCATTTTTAGAAGACATATTGTGACCTTATAATTTCTAGAAGAGTGGTTTTTAAAGATTTCATATTGATAGCCAATAGTTTTAAAAATGTTTTCATAATAATATCTGTTCGTATGTGATAAAAAATCGGTAAATAACGATGGTAAGAACTTACGCGTTCAATTCAGATGTCTAACACAAATAAAAATACTGGAATGCTAATTTATGTGTAAAATTCAGTCAAGTTTTTAACAGTTACAATATATATTATCCCATTTTGCATATATATCCCTTTTATTATGTATATTTACTTCTCAAACGTATCATTTTCTCTGTAATTGACCTGACATCAAACGTCAACTTTGAAAGTAAATATCTCCTTTTTTGCAAATAAAATAAAAATTCTGACAAATACGATCTCTTCCAAAGTCTTTTATTTAGCATTTCTGAGAACTGGCGTAATTGCCATTCTTTCCAAAACTTTGCACAGACAGTTTTTGTAGACCCATCATTTTTGCCGAAAAATCGCCATTTTTTGTGCGTGTGTGTGTGTGCATGCGCGGACTCTTTTTTCGGAGTCTTTTTCAGTCTCAATTTCTTACTTCCGGAAACACTGTTTTTGGAGTTCGTCTAGACTGCAGACACCTCTGCAATGGGCTTGCGAACGACAGTCCATTGTTTATTTACATCAAACGCCATTTTGCCACAATGTATGATGGAGCCAAAGACTTCATATTGGGAGTTCATGCCGTTTTTGGAGTTCATCTAGACTGGTGAACATTAGGGATGCGCGATTTTATCGGTATACCAGTATATCGTGATTTTTTATTGTGTGATACGTATCGTGATACGGAGACTAAAATACCGGTATTTGGTACATAGTTATAAATTCTGGAAACTAAATTCATTTGATCAAACTGCTAAATAACACTCACAGGAAGTGTAAAAAATGTTGAAAACAGTTAAACAATGGCATCCAAACATGCTTTATATGATATAAATAAAAAATTTAAAAAGTGAAGTTATGTTTTTACAGCATATTTTTAAGAAATATTATGGAAATTCATTTGAAACTGTAGTAAAAATTGTGTATAAAAACATCACAATATTATCATGATATTTTTGGAAAAATTGTGATATATCACAATGCGAAATTTTTGGCGATACCCATCCCTAGTGAACATGGTAAAGGCATCAGTCCAAACACACCCATGCCAAATGTAAGTAATTTAAGATTCAAAGAAGTTTCAGGACCACAAAAAAAGTCAACAGATTGCAATTTCAAGAGATTAAAATTATGAAAATAGATATTTTTTCTCAATGGTTTCTTATATTAAGCTGCATTTTTTTAATTGTTTTCATTAGCATTTTTATATATTGTTTTTAAGTTATATTGGTCAAAGCAAAATCTTTAAATGAAAACATAAAAGGGATTTGTCAGATAAGTTTTCACTTATTACTACTTATTAAATAATTGAAGCATTTTTTTTTTTTTAGATATACATTATTTTAGATTTAAGCAATAATTGATTCTATTAATTATCAGCATGTATAAATATAATACAAGAAGAGCGAGACTT